TAACAATACTTATAATTATTAACTAATTATAATAAAGCAAATCTATGAAAATATAAAATAATGTACCATTTACTTAGGTAGAGAAACATTTGCATACTGCATTTTTTATTGATAAATCCTGAAGGATAATAAACAAAATGTGTTCAACAATAATTGAATGATAAAATTGATATAAAGAAAACTCGCCTCCAGTATTAATTATATAACATAATATAATTTATTTATACACAAAACAGGTCCGATATTTTAAAATATAGTTAAATCATTTTTATAAATACCACATATTTAAAAAACAAAAATTTTATAATACAATAACTTAATACTTATACCACAACACATCATTATATAAATATATATATATTTATTTATATTGAGTATACACCAACTAATTTCTAGGGAAACAATAAGTTTTTTTACATTAATGAATAGGTCTGGAAGGTATATATTAAAATACAACTAAAATTCTTAAAAGTTCTATTTTAATTTAATCTTGAATTAGTTTGTATTGATAAATTTAGAATATTTTTTAAAGTTACAAAAGAGCCATTCCCTGCTATCATTTGTAAGGTGTGTTGAAAAAATGACAATCAGAAATGTACAAAAAAAATGCATGTAAGTATACATACAAACCACAATCATACGTAAACCGCCATTCCTCGAATTACTATAACTAATTTTTTTCTGTGTTGTAACGGAGACTCCAAACTTTAAAAAGCGCATTAGCACTCCTGTTGGTTCCAACAATGTGTATATACCGAACAACTTGTGGATGAATCCACAATTCTTGATTTCCTTGACAATTATCATTTGAATGATCTATAACACGCACCCAATTTTGCCCGTCATTTGAAACTTCAATGTAATAAGAGAAACGCCTACAATATCAAACAATTTGAATACATTTTAGAGTAGTGATTGTAAATTAAATATTAGGAACAGAGTTGTGGAAAAGTTGTCGAATAATGAATACAAAATATGAACAGTTAATGCTTAATAAACATTAAGAATAGAAAACAATTTTTCGGTCATTGATAAATTTGTTTGCTTTACTTATGATAAAAACAAATTCTCAACAAATAAAAATGGTTTTAAATAAATAAAAGTCACGAATGTTTTGAATAACCATTCAAATAATTTTTTTTTAAATATTGACTATTTCAGTATAAAATGAAATTATAAGTTTAAAACATACTTTTTACTGTCAACTCTTTCTGGATCCCATAACACTATTTCTATAAAGTTTACAAATGATGGATTAATCAACCTTATCATATTGGTACCGAAGTCGATATTTCCAAACGCGAAACCCCGAGATCGATGAATTAAATTCAAATCGGGAAGTGGAGAACTATGAGCCTCATAAAGAATATGATCATCGAGTACTAAAAAATCCAATAATTAAAACCAACATATTTGGTGACATACAAATTGATGTGTACAACAAGCATACTTAGCCGTCCCCGAAATTGGGGCTTATCTTGTGGCCACGTGTTTCTTCTTAATTGCATGGCAGCTGAAATTATATCCGACCTAACCAGTTGTGATTCCCTAGCTTGAGACTGTTCTCCAACACTCATTATCGGATATCTGACGGCCGATAAAACTTTAATTTTTGTATCACGATCCAGTTCGTTTTGGTTCTCATTGACCCAGCGACAAACCTCATGGAATATAACCAATTCGTTAGCGTAAAACGTGTCCCGATTGAGGATTTCTTGAAGAACTTTCTAAAAATAAAAAACAATTGTTTCTCAACTTTTCACCTTACGCTAGCAATATTATTATTATTATTATTTTTTTAATTATCATTACAGATGACAAAGTCTTAAAATCATTGGATTCCAATACTTCCTCGGCGTTGTCATCGATAAATTTGAGGAATTCGACTTCGAGCTCCTCGTTTTTATAAATTCTTGCTAAAGCAAAGAACGTACATGCATTGTTTTCGTTAGTGCTTCTTTGAAAATACTTTTCCAGTGAAAGTTTTAAATGTGAAATCCCAAAATAATCCGAAAGTCTATGTAATTCAAAAATTTCTTCATTCTGTAAAATAAATAATAAAAAATGTGTTTAATCTTTCTTTATTAACCTTTTTTCAATTGAATACATTATTTAATTTAACAGTTCGAACACATACTACCGGCTAAACGATCCCAAATAAATCACTTATACAAATTATATTTATGTCGTTTAATAACCGCTTAGCTACGTCGATTATTCGTTACCTCAAAATCACTTAAATCTATTCGGCCAGTATAAATATATTCAAAAATTCTTTGAAATAAAGTTAATGATACATCTTTTATGGGCACATACGAATTAGAAACTTCTCTTCCACCTCCATAAAATAAGATCCTAAAAATAATACATTATATTATTACAAACATTAAATTATGGAGTAAAAAAGATATAAACGATACCTTTCTCAGAGGTAAGCAAGATAATTGTATTCTACTTGATATTAATTATACCATTTTTGGGATGATGAAACCATTTGTTTTGAGTGTCCAAATATATAAAACAAGTTTTATTAAAATTTTAAATTCGTCCATCGGCATATTTCATTTGGTTTCAAAATATTTAAAGTGGTAACAGCGTTAAAAATAAGTGGAAGTAATTGAAGAAAAAAAAAATAATAGGGATCTTATTTTAGGTCACAACGAAGTGTAAACTATTGTGAACTAAAAAAAACAAATAGTTTTCATCCGCCTCAGAAGAAAGGCCTAAAGAAATATACTTAATTACAAGAATAGAATACCTAAAAAAATCGCTTCGTGAGGCTAGTATACTACGATGGGCGCGCAATCGTTCTCCTTGTACCTCCAAAACAACGTCTGAATAACTAAATAAGTCTTGAAATTAATTAAAAATACACATACGAATATAAAAAGTATTAATACATTTTGTATAATTTCTAATTAATATAGTTGGCTAATATATTTGTCGGCCAAAATATTTTTAAACAATAGCTTCATTATTGACATTTTTATACCTTAGCTCTGGCACATAACCGTAAAACTTTTTACGAAAACTGGCGTTACCAAAAAGTGTCACGGAAATGGGGTTGGTGGGGAAGCTGGGGGAAAGCTGTGGCTTTGAGAGGGAATGGGGTTGGGGTGGTAATTAGCTATAGCACATAACCGAAAAAATTGTTACCAAAAACTTGTCACGCTGTTGTCTGATGAAAGATAAGGGATTAGAGATGTAGCATAGAGTAGAATTTAAGTAAATAGATTAAGCAAAACAAATTATATGTTCAAATAATGAAATATTATGTGCGGTATAACAATAATGCCAATTCGGCAAATCATTCAAATGACCCACATTAACTTAATGTAAAATAAGCAAAACAATATTAACTATTTTTTACTATAAAAGGCGAATGTAAAACAAGCCAAAGACGTCTTTTCGCTTAGCATTAACTAGGTGGAGAACTTATTGTATCGACTGTTGTTTTGTGCCATTATACTTTATTTCTAAAGTTTATTTTCGACTTGCGTATTTATTTATTAATGTTACCTTTTAGTGTCTCATTTTTAAGAGTTAAAGTTTAACTTTTAAATACGTGTGCTAGGACAACCTTTTTAGTGATCAAAATTGCAAATAGTCTTTAGTCTGCCCTCCTTATGCTCCCAATTGTATCTCCCCTAACTTCCTAGGCTACATGCTCGTCTGCCTAATTGTTTAGTTAACTTCCTCTTTAATGACTTTTGTTCATCCCATTTCCCTAATTCCTTATGCATGTATACGGTTCTGTTTCTCCTAATTCAGCTGGTTTTTCTTTTTTTATACCTACACTTAATTTTTCTTATTCTGAAAAATTAGTTTTTTTATGCTTCCTCATTTACAGCTGAGTGCTATGCAATTATTAATTCCCTTCAACACCTTTTTTCCTTTAGCTTCGACAATTTTCTTATTTTTTCCGAATCCCAGTCATGCCTCCAGGCCTTTTCCTCCGACCCTTTTAATTCCTCACTTCTCCCCCTTAATCTCCTCATTAAATCTCTAATATATAGCCTCTTCCTTAATAAAAAAATGTCCAATTTCTGTGGGTGCCCGGACAATTGAGTATCTTCGTCAATGAAGTGGCAGATAAGTTAGCTTGCTCAACCAGTTTCTACACATACCACTCTTCCTTCCGAATTCCTTCCTCTGATCTCTCCCAAATATTATTTAAGTTACTACTTAATTCCTGGTTATCTAAATGGCACTCTCTCCCTCATATTTTTGCTGCTTGGCATAGAGCGATTTCTCCTACCATTTCCCGCCGTCCTTGGTTCTGGAACTCTCCCTTACCTAGATCCCTTATTGTAACTTTTACCAGACTCCGTCTTGGTCATAACCTCCTTCCCGCTCATGCCTTCCATCTCTCCTTAAACTCATTTCTCTTTTGTACTCTCCATCTTAATAAAGCTCCTTGTAATTTTAACCACATTCTGCTTGGCTGTCCTACTCTGCACCCCAACAGGAAAAAATTACTTTCCCATCTTAGTTTGTTCGGCTATACCTCCCTGGATCCCTCACTCCTATTAAATTCCCGTAGTCCCTCCGTTATCGTTCTACTTATACCCTTCCTTTCTAAAGCTGGGTTTTCTATCTAATTGTATTACTTTTTTCGCATGTTATTAGTTGCTTACATTTTTTTTTTTTTTTATTATTTTTTTTTATTATATTGATTAGTAATTGTCGTGATGCAATATTGTGAAATAAAAGCACATTAAAATTAAAAAAAATTAAAATAGTTCATAATGAAAGCATCGTGGCATATGATATTTTGCCATTTTGTGTACTACCTAGTACCTACTTTAAATAAAATTAGAATTAGCAAAACGAGACACACTTCCAGCTTACTTTTAACATCTTATCACAGGTATAACAGATTATAATTTTAACAGAATATAATTTAATTTGGGCTAGAGTATTAATAAACTGTATATAAGACAATCTTGACAAATTTATAAAATAATAAAGTTAAATGGTACAAATTCAATACCACATACCTGCCGCTTTGATAGAGGTTGCCTATGTCGCTGATCAAAATGTCGGTGTTGTCTATTTGACTGGCCTCGGAAGACGAAGCCTCGGGAGACGAATCATCGGTAATATCAGGCCGTGCCATATAACCTTCAAATCAGAACATGCCAAATAAAATTAATAAAACAGCTGATTTTTATGACGAGTTTGTATGATTTATTTATTCATATAGCATACACCCACCCGATTTTATATTTATCATCTATTTGCTTATTTAATATTTTAAATAATATAATTATGATACTTATATCGCCCACAACAGAATAATCGGAGTACAATAATTTGTTTTTGCAGAAAAGGAAAAATTCTTACAAGAACTTAAATAAGTTAGCTTAAGTTAGCCTTATGTTCCATAATATTATGTACATGACTTAGGTATCGCTTATAGGTTGCTGCAATTAAATTATAAATAAATAAATAATTTGTATATTAATAAAATGTATTATTTACCTGGACTTAACCATAAAATAATAAACGCTAAACCATACAACTGCATACTGTTATAATACGTGTTAATATAATATCAAATGTTGAACACTTTAAAAAAAAATCACCATAAAGGAAACCACGTCAACAGATATTGAACACTAGATTTATTACAATACCGTTTAATATTTTTCCACACTAAACGGAATATATTTTAAAAGAATCACGTGTACGAATTTTTTACAAAGCCGCTTGTTATTGTCAAACATCAAACGGTAATTTCAGCTGACGTCAGTCTTGTTGAACATGCGAATAATTCGTTTGTAAGAATCAGGAAAAAATCATATTACTTACAGAAATGTCATGGAATCCATAAATATTCGGACCGCATAGTCACTGACCGTGAAAATACGGAAAAAAAACAAACCGTAAAATCACGGAAAGTATTTTTCCGGAATCGAGAATTAAATTAGGTAGACCGTATTTGTGCGAAAAGTAAGAATCCGGAATATACAGGGTGACTGTTCAATTTTATCAGTTGTTACGTCGTACATCCGACCGCCGCATCGTTCCACGCCGACGGGCGGTCGTTGTTTTTGTTTCGAGTAGTATAAATACAATATATCCAACGAATACAGGGCACAGTTTTATTTTTATTTTACATAGGTGCACGAGTAAAATGCTTGGAACAATATTTTTTCCATTCTTCTACTTGTATAGCCGTATGTTGTGTGACTTGTGTCCAGAGACACGCACGTCTGTGTTAATAATGCGTACCTGAACGCACATACGACCGCTGTTTAAAAGGTGCGGAATTATGAAAAAAAAATATCGTCGTTATGGTTGCAGTCCGTAGTGCTGCCTTCGATTTGATGAAGGGTGCGGGGTTCGATTCTTAACTACTACTTCCTTATTTTTTTTCTTAATTTTTCGACTTATTTTTTATTTAAAATTTGATTTAACTTTAAAACTGTAACCTCCTATAGTTTAGCGGAACGTAAAATAAAATAATGACTATTTTATGTATTTTAGGTTGTTATAATTTTTAGTCTTCTGTCTTTTTATACTACTATTAGTATATTTGTACTACATACATAAAGAGTATGCATAGGCGCAATTAGGGGGCGTTAGCACACCTAAGTTTAAAACGGGCACCGTCTAATATTTTTCGTGTTTACGTCTTAAAACGTCTTTATATAAAAATGTAATAAAAAACCAACATTATTGTAAAACAAATTTAACATGATAAATGTTTGTACAACATTCTTGCTCAACAAAACCATTAACCCCAATAGTTCAAATTTTAAAACCTGGAAAATGCAGAGCTTAAACACCCTCAACATTTTTATTGAAATTGCGCCTATGTGTACACCGTATAATAAACGAAATACATAATTATTGTGTATAGGTAGGTCCCTTGAAATGTGCGCATACTAGTTGCCTCCGAAAAACAACGAATTGTCCCCTTGCTTAACTTTTAGGTCTTAATTCATAAGCTACTAGTTGTTGCCTCCCGTGCCAGGTACTAATATTTTTTTATCCGACAAAACGAAATACATTGCATATTATTTCTTTAAAACTATGCAGATTACACTTTCAAACCTTGCGTTTTTACACTATTTTTTATAATATCCTTCTTAAGTTCCAATTGTTATTGATATATACAGCAGTTTTTTTTTCAACATAATACTACCAATGCTTAGCTTTTTTATTTGTTTGTACTTGGCAGTTAGCTTCACAATAGTGAATCTAACCATCGGGGACGGCCTTGGGTAGACTGGCGTTTGTCCGACGGTACATAACGTGTTTAAATGTCATACCCGGCATTAATTTTTGTGCAGTATAAATCAACCCGTATGGTTTTTTAAGTACGACACAAACTAATTTTCGCAAATTTCTTACCAAACTAATGCCAAATTAATATGTAAAATAGATCACTCCAGTGTATGTATTAGTGTTGTAATTTGGATTCGAATCTTCGAAGGATTCGAATATTCGAATAGTCGGATTCGAATACCTAATTTTTAAAGATTCGAATAGTTGAAAAAAAAATATTTGTAAATTAATTATTATTACTATTTGAATAGTTCGAAGGATTAGTTAGCTTAGCCGATGATAAAATAACTTATCAGTTATTATTTAAGTATAATAATTTATTCAGTTTTTACATTATGTTAAGTATGTAAAATCGGTGTAAGTTTTAATTTATAAACCTTGAGCAGACAGGGGTTGGTGTGTGCTCTGGTGCTTGCTTTTGGGGATGCTCGAGGGTAAGGAATGAGAAAGGATTTGGCACGATACTGATTGACCGAACATGTAGGATATTGCGTCATTTAACAGTATTTTCAAATGAAGTATTTAAAATGCATATTGTAAATGATAATCATGTGATTTTTAAATAATATTTCACCGAAAAAAACGGAGATCAATCATTGTTGATTTTATTTTTGATATTAGCCATAAAATTTTCGAAAAATTTAGAGTTCCCACTCATGCCAATATACCGAGTTTTAATTACAGTCATTAAAATATACATAACATAGTTTTTATTTGTAGAATTTGATATTGGACTCCTGGCTTTTAAAATACTTAACAAATCTTTTTATAGCTCTATGTAGAACTAGCGTCGTTCTCAAGCTGCTGCTATGAAAATTCAAAAGATAGGTGTAAATATTTTTTGTTTAAACTACTCTCTGTTATACGTGTATGTGATAGATATTTGAATTTGTGCAATTATAGTATGCATATTTCAAAACTTATCTTCGTTGTATGCGTCTATGATTATTTTTAAAAACAATATTAATTGTGTACAGGTATTATTGCTGCGTCTTGTTGCATCAAGTGTGCAAGTTCGATAATGATAACCATACTAAGGGTTTGTTTTACAATCGCTATTTTTTAAACCGTCACATTTTATAGCTTCATCGTGGTCATTTAAGTTTAAAAATAATGTTACTTATGTGCTTGAGTTGTTTCTTCGACATACCTACATGCAGTTGACAAAATAATATATTTATTTTAGGTGTGTGCAATTGGTAAGAGTTTTTATCAACTGTTTCAACTCACCAACATACAACGAATCAAAAATAAATAATATATCATACTAAGAGTACTTTTTCTACACTAAATAATGAGAAAAAAATCAAGTTGATATATTATAATCAATTGTATTTATAGATATTTGTGCAAGAATCCGCCCAAAATATATATTTGTTTTGTACTTTGTTTTATAACCTTGTAATTCATGCAAACAATTATTATTTTAATTTTTATGTTCCTTAGGTACTATAAAATAGTATGAGATCTATTTTGGATCTTAAATGGGCTCAAATAAGTAGTAATATTGAATTTTTTTAAACTGTCAGCACCCAATAAAATGATTTTAGCTGCCCCAGAAAAATACCTACTTAACACATTTTAAATCTCAACCAACATTTTTTTTGTTTAAATAACACAAAATGTATATGATGAAATATGATGTTAAAATACCCTTTATAAATAAAATTAGAAGACCAAATTGGTCGAGCATTTATGGTATAGGTTGCAAAGGTAATAAAGAAGTTCTAAAGCAAAATTACAGCGAAAAAAAACATAATTATATTTTATTAGAAATCATATAATTATAATCATAATATTGTAGAAATAATAATACATTTTATTTTGAATTTATATAAAATAAAATGTACTATTATTTCGACAATTATTATGATTACATTATGTTAGTTTTACTCATACTTTTTAGAATAAGTTTATCTTTTTTTTTATATCTTAGAATTATCAAGTTTGAATAATGGTAACAAAATAATATAACCACAACAATGTCGACATCTATAAATTGTTATAAGTTAATAATTACATCTTAGTAAGGTTAATAATTTGTAATTCAGGTACTGAAAAAGTAAAAAATTCGTCGTACTTAGGACTAGTTATTCCATTTTCTTTAAGCTTTTGGAGAATACTATTGTAGGCAGCTTTACTGAAACCATAAAGTAATTAAAAAAAAGTTATATATCTTTATATTTTAAACATCCAATGCAACAGCATACTAGCTATTTCCTAAAAAATGCAAGTGGCCCTCAATTGTATTAAATTGTATTGAAATATGTGTAATATCATAAAAAAATTATCTGAGCTAGAGTAGAACAAAAAAGAACTCAATTTTCCTGTATGAGATAATTGGTTGATTAAAATTATTGGTGGTATGATGGGTTAACTGATTTTGAACTTGTAAAAAATAAAATTAATAAAGAACAAGTTAAAAATATTTTTTCTACCGAAAGCGTTGATATGAATAGTAATACTCACTTTGGTTTTATAGTGAACAGCAAATCTATAAAGCAGAAAAGTTATTTTATTATACAGCATACATATCATGTGTTTTACCATTGAGTTTATATTACCATACAATATATACTCAATGGTTTTACTAGACAATAGTAAACAATAGTGTGTTTTAATATTTTGTCAAAGGTGTAGCAAAGGGTGGGCATCCCCCCTCCATATATTGGTTTAAGGTTAAATTTCATTATACAGCATTAGACTTATTAACTGAACCGAAAAAAAAAATTACATTATTTTTGAATAAATTGTTTTTCAATAAACTGCTCTACCTAGTGTTGATCTTATTGAATAATATTTTAACCTATATTAAAACATTTCATACATTACCTAAATTACCCTTACCCATCGGATTTACACCATCTGCAAAGAAAATATACCTAATTAAAATGTTATCTACCAACCTAGGTATATTATTTATACTTTTACCTTCTTTTACAAACATGATACCGCCCTTTTCTGGAATAAAAAAAAATAACTTCAATATTTTAATAACACTTTAACAGCATTATGCCGCATGTGCACAATTATTTTGTAAGAGGTAAAATAAAGACAATATAATTATTAACAGAAAGTTATAAAACGGACCTTAATTAATTTTAGGTTTTCGGATTAAAGAAACATAACGTCTTTTCATATAATTCTGCTTAAAAATAAATGTTTCTATTAGCTGAACCATTTTTTTTTTTTTACACGAGGTAGGTATTGACATTTTTAAATTATTAATCTATTAAAATGACAATAAAAAAAAAACTATTACATTGTAATAC